CCCAGGCTATCACAGCAGCATCCTTCCAAGTCTTATTGGCCTTCGCAGATGGTGGGTTGGAAGTGGCCTATTAGAAGAAGCCATTGGCCCAGGTGTGAAGGCAGTATGAAGTTTCTGGGGCATGTAATCCTGGAACGAGGGGCGAGAAGAATCTCTGGAGCCAAAAACAAATATGAGCATCTGTCCACCTCTACTCATTAGGTCATTGAGTTTTGTAACACTTATGTGAGAGTGAGAATGGTGTCATGTTTCTTATGAGAACCCTGTGGTGTGAGTTACAGACACTCTAGGATTCTCTATTAGTAAGCTCTGATCCAACAGGTTATCAGCACTGGGCTGGACATATAATTATCAAAATTATTTTTTTAGCATGGACATCGTAATTTATGCTACCACTTCTTCTGCAGCCCCTCCGGTCTTCCATTCTTTCTGTTCCAGCTTGGGGTGCATGGCCACAACCGCTCCCTTGCAAACTGCCTTCACCCCTCCCCCACGGTCCCCCCTTCAAAAAACCACCTAAACCAGCAGACACCGTGTCACTGTACGTTCTCATTCCATTGGGTTTCTCAGCAAGAGGAGGGGGCTAGAATGCAAAACAGTTTTGAGGAACCCGCTGATTTGAGTTGAGGAGAAAGTGACTTCTCTGAGGTGGCTTTGCCAACCCCAAAGGACTGCCTAGCTTTGGAGACAGTGTGTGCTCCCACCTCTGGGACTTCAGTGGGAGCCTGCAACTTTAACTCGTTAATTAATTTTGATGTCCTCCAAAGCATTGTTCTCAAGAATGGACCACACAAAAGATGGGTAGGCTTGAAGTGTCCCAGGCCCCTTGGCAGCAGAGTGAGCTAATTTCTGAGTCTGTGCCAGCAGAGGTGGGATGCCATCTCTTTCACACAGTTGAATGTCCCCTTTGAACAACACATTCAGGTACCTTGAACATTTAAATCCTTCTTTCCAACCCACGTGCTCCAGGAGCGGGCTCCCAACTGGCAGTTCCTAGTCATGTAACAAAATAAAACAAAACAAAACACAGTTAATTCAACTCACTCAGCCCCACAGCCAATGTGCCATTTAAACTGTTCCTTCAAAATAATTTGTTCAGGATTATATGGCCCAAAAGAACGATCTTTATAAGTATGGCATCTTCATGAACCTTCTGGCCATGACAAGGAATTTCTGGTATCAATCAGGGAGACCTTTCGCTCTCCCTCCCACGTGGGACCCTCCCATAATAAAGGGTGGACCCCTCAATGCTCTCCAGGACCTGGCTTCAATGTCCTCTCCTGCGCAACCTTCGTTTATTTCTGTTCTGTCACTGTATGTGCCTCCATATTTCTCCTGTTGAAGATGGAATGGACTTTTTACCTTCAAACAAGGAGACTCAAAGCCCCGCCTCCTCCCTGCACAGCCCCCCCATCCCCCACCCCCACCCCCGTGCATCTGTCGCCTCCCGCCACACGCCTCGCTCGGCGCCACCTCGGCCTCCAGGGTTTTGCAATGCTATCGGGTGCCCTGCTGAGGCCACTTCACTGCCCCAGCGCCTCTCCAGCCTCTTCAGCACCGACCGCCCCCAGCTTTGGTCTCCCAGGAGCATGAAATGGACAGCTAGCTCATCACCCACCTGCTGGACAGCTACGCGGCCCCGCGCCGGCCTGGGACCGCCCTCCGCCCGCGCCCTCGTCGCCCTCCTCCGTGGACGAGGGCTGTTTTGTTACCCCACCCGCAAAGGGGCCCGGACTCGGCTTGCCCGCCTCCAGACCAGCCACCACAGCATGTCGCCTGGGCCCTCTTCCCCGCACCCCGACGGCGAGCTTAGCAACAGGGAGCTGGTGCCCATCCGCCGCGAGCCCCAGCACCCACAGCACGTTGCCACCCCTCTGCCCGCCGGGGCTGCACTGCCGCAGAAGGCGGGACGGCACGGCTCGAGCGCCACGCGCTGAGCACCACGCGGGTGCAACTGCAGGACCACGCCAGCGACAGCCGAGTGCTGGCTGGAGCACCTTCACCTTCCAGCCGCGCCAGCTCCGGTGCCTCTACTGAGCATCCGCAGGCCGAACAAGAAACCCCTCGCGGACCCCCAGCCTCTGTCGGGGCCCCTCCCGCACAGCCCACGTGCTGGAGGCGCGCCCGCAGCCTTTCCGGGGCTGGACAGCGCAACCTCCCTCCTCCTAAAGTGTGTCATGTGGGATGATAGTCTCCTCTTCCACCCACTCGATTTCCCCGTCTCTGGTCCTCTTACCCGCCTCTGAACCTCCTCCCGCCCTTCACCCTCCCTCCTTGTGGCTGCCGTGCCCTGCGTCTAACCCTCCATGTCCCCATCCTTCCTTCCCTGGTTCCCGTCCCCATCCCTGCCCTGATAGTCCCCTGCACCCTTGCCCTCCAGGCCTCTACCTCTGGCCCACTCCTATTTCTCAGGGTCTCCTCTTCCACTCTGAGATCCGGCTCTTTCCTCACCTTTCATTCCCACTTTACAAGCCTCACCCAATCTCAAGTTTGGCACTGCGGTCGCTCCTGCTCCCGTATTATTCATTCCCAGTAATTCCCTCCCAAATGGGTGGGGTAGGGGGAGGGGCCGAGACTAAAAGTTTCCATCTCCAGTCTGGCCCTTCCCTCTGCCCAGGAGCTGGGCTCCTTGTGTGTTCCTTAGGCCTGGACAGGTCAAGATGTGGAAGAGGACTACTGTCAGATGTGAGGTGGAGAGAGAAGGTGGAGGGGGCCAGGGAGAGACGCAGCCTACTGGGAATGGAGACAGGGCAGACAGATTGACAAACTGTAGGGAGCAGGGCACCATGGGAGCTGGTACCGTGCTTGCTCAGAGAGGCCCAGCCCAGCTCCTGCTGAAGCCTGGAGTCTGCCCCCACTTTCCTTTCCTATAACCCCACCTCCCAAATCTCTTCCTGAAACCCACCCCTCTGCAGGCCCTAGATTCTGAAGGGCTCAGCTAGTACTATGCTCTCCTACCCCCAACATGTCACTCCAGGAGTAGAGGCGGGGCAAGGCCCTGCCATCCTGGCCATCTGTTCTCATGCCCAAGGTGCTAGAACTATTAATAACTTAGGAGAGATACAGGCCCGAGGGCCTAGGCAGGGCAAGTGCACACCCTGGAGTGAGAATGCGGACGAATGATGCTGGCTGGGGGGAGGACAAGCTGTGGGGTGAGGCCATCTCAAGACTGACAGCTCAGCCTTCCTCTGGCCTCTGGCTTTGTCTTTCACACCTGCCCGGGATGCCTAGCAAACCCTTTTGGGTGGGAGGCCAGGAGTGTCCCTGTCCCAATTCCCACATAGTCGCTCCCCAGGTCAGAGTTCTCTGGGGGACCTTCCTCGTTTTCTACCCCAGTGCTCTTTCCTTTCAAAGCGACCCCTTAGTCACTTCACAGCGAGACTAGGGTCTTCGGCACTTCCAAGACCTGAGACTCCCTCCAACTCTTCTTGATACTCTTTTGGCTTTGATGCCAGATGGGGCCGGGCTCAATCCTGGGCAGCGCCCATGATCCTTCTGGTAGGGGAAGACTGAGTTACAGGGCATTTGGTTGACATTTCAAAAAGGCCCCTTCTTTCCCGGTATTTCTGGAGCACCTGTAGTTCTCGAACGCTCTGCAATCTCATCTCCTGACTGGTTGCAAGGCTCACAGGGTTTTGTGCTTTCCTATAAACCCCATAGCATTGGCGTGTGGCACTATTTTAAGGGTGCATAGATTTCTAAGAGCCAACACGACTCAGTGTCCTGAAGCCTGAGACCCCATCATACTGTATTGACATTGTGTATGTGCCTCTCACTGTGAGCATGCTTCAGGATTTATTTTTTTTTAAACCACAGAACTTGAATACATGGGGGAACCAGAATTCACAAAATCCTCTGCCACCTTAGATAGGAGGGGGTTAGAGAGTCTATCTTGACTGATGTTTTCAGAGACCCTGGAGAAGCCTGTTACAGTTGGTGAGTATTCATTAATGTCAAGACTACCAGCACTTGGCCAAAAGTGAGCAAGTCAGAGTGACCTGTTTCAAGAGTGAGTCCCAATGACATCAAAGGGCGACTTATAGTCATTGCCCAATATGTCTGAATGCTCTCTTCAAAGTGGGTGTCGCTTTCCAGCATTTGCCATCTGGCCCCTGCAGGGTATCGTGTGTACACATACTGTTTTGGCATGTGCCTGCTTCTGGGTCCCTGCCTGCAACACTGATCAATGTGCTCTTTCCCATATAACATCTTAGGTGCGAGAAGGACCCCACCAGAGCTCTTAGATGCCTCCTCAGATCCATGTGGTTTTATGTGAAGGGACCAAGTGCACACATTATGACCCCTTATACCTTCCCACTTGCCCTGCCATCTAGTTCCAAGTGGAACCAAGTTGGGTGTTTTGGGTTGAGACTGGCTGAAATGAGGAGACTCTGGTTGACCATGTTGTGACATATCAACAGACTCAAGGACACAACCACCTCAACCAGTCCAGTGGTGTCACTGTGTATGTGTGTGACAGGATTCTGATCGTTAGAGCATAATGTTATTCCTCTGTGTGGGGGGGAAATAAAGAAAAACAAACAAAAATTTATTTAAAGAAAAAAAAGGCACTAGTAACTCCAGTCATCAGATGCATCTTCTTTTGTTGTATTTTTCCAACATAGTTTATGCTGGGCAAAAATAAGGTCCTACTACATATTCCAGTTTTGTTATCTGCATGTTAGGCCCACCCACCCTGGACGTTTTCCCATGTTGCTAAGTACTAATCCACTTTAATGTTTGCTAAGTGTTACGGTAAGTGAATGACTTATTACCTACTAGATACTGCAGTGTCCTTAGGTACCAGAATTAATTAATCCTCCATTGCTTCACAAATTTAACAAAGTATTTTTTTAATCGCTTTCCTTATTTCCTTGCTCATGGCAGAAATACCTGAAAACCTTGAACAGCCAGACATCATTTATAAAAGTCATAGTCTGAGGTCCTCAGCACAGTACTGAGTGAAGGAAGCCAGGAATACTTACTGTGTGATTCCCATCCTGACAAACGGGCAAAATTGAACCAAGACATTTGGGGATGCATGCTGAGGTGACAAACTAAAGGCAGGTAAGGAAGCAGTGATATACAGACCATGTCATGGAAAATCTCTTGTTTATACAATAGAGTGGTAAAATCGGTCAACTGCACATATAGTTTATATTCCCCAAATAGAGTAACTAAAATATTATATGTGACCACCATAACTGACCCTATAAGTAAAACGAATGGCAATACTGAATACAAAAATCACAAAACCCACTAACCTTAAATGGTGCATATCACAGCATACAAACTCTCATCTCCCTATGACCTATTCAAACTATAGACAGCAATTTTTTAAGCTACTCTAGCATTTATACCCTAATTAGAAATTTATATGAAACCCAATTTAATGTTCCAATATGGAACTAAGCCATATAATTTTCCAACCCAGAAGCATCCCAGCATCCTGTAATAAGAAATATTATCCCCAGCAGCTATGTCCATGGGTAAAAGCATCGTGGAGCAGCATCTCAGGCACCATATGAACCAGAGCAATATCCATGCATATGTCAGCAGCAAATGCCAATGTCCACCTAGAAACATTTACAGCATAAAGACCAATGAGAATTCCAGTTGCCATTCCAAGATATGCGAGCATGGCTGACAAAGCGTTATAAAGAACAGCCTGCTTAACAGTCATGCCAGCCTTCAGGAAAATAGAAACGTGGCCTAATTCATGAAGCAACTCATGACACAAGGCAGCAACAGAAGCACTAAAACCACTTGATAGACCTTCAGTCAAAGCAGCACCAATTGGGTGGATGGTTGACTCAGTTGGCTGGAGCATGGGCTCATGGCGCCAGGGTTTCCTGGTTTGATTCCCACGTGAGCCAGTGGGCTGCGCCCTCCACAACTAGATTGAAAACGACTTGACTTGGAGCTGATGGGTCCTGGAAAAAACACACTATTCCCCAATAAAGTTAAAAAAAAAAAGCAGCAGCACCCATTGCTAGGCCATTGCTGAAATTGCATAGGCCGTCGCCCATTATCACCATCCACACCAATGTGGCAAGGCTGGCACCTTTCAGGTCCTCCTGAGAGTAGCGCTGACCGTGACTGTAGGGGTGGTGGTTTTGGTGCTGTGGGTGATGGAGAATAGGATGGTGGTGAAGGAGATCATCTGATGGACATGTGAATGGCATTTATTCTTGCACCCTCTGGGTACGTATTCATTATAGACCTCTTGTGGATGAGCGGGAGCTATCATGGCCTCTTCTTCCAAGACTGCTGGCTGTTGAGAATCAAAGTGGGAGGGCCCTTTGAGTCTGCTTGTCAGTAACCTTCAGGTCGATCATCTGCATCTACTCTCTCCTCATTTGTTGAAATTTGAGATTCATGCTTGGACAACTTCTTCTCCACATCATCCTCAGGTTTTTTTATCTGATTCTCTATTGGAATAAAAGTCACCTAAGGGCAGGGTATGTACTTAACTTGCCCAGCTCTTGGTAGTGGGACTCCTAGACAGTGGGTGAAGAACCAATGCCTCTAATATGAAATGTAGAAAAGGCACGTGCATCTTTCCTGGTGTCCCCTAGGTCATCTCCAAATCTTTGAAAAAAAAAAGATTTTATTGGAGTATTGGGGGGGGAACAGTGCTGGGGAATTGGGGAAGGGGAACAGCCAAGTTGTTGTCCATCAATCTTAGTTGTGGAGGGTGCAGCTAGCTCAGCTCCAAGTCCAGTCGCCATCCAGCCACCCATCAGCATCTCGCAGCTGCTCAGCTCAAGGTGCTGTGCTGAATCTTAGTTGCAGGTGGGCATAGCCCACTATCCTGTGCTGGGAGTCAAAATGGCAACCTTGTTGTTAGGAGCACGTGCTCTCACCAGCTGAGCCATCCTGCCGCCTATTGGCAACTCAGCAGCAGCTCAGCTCTGGTGCAGCTCACTGGCTCATGAGGGAGTCGAACTGGTGACCCTGTTGCTCAGAGCTTGTGCTCTTAACCAACTGAGCCACTGGGCCGGAATGGTCATCTCCAAGCTTTTATATACAAATGTTCATTGCAGCATCATTTGTAAGAGCCCAAACTTGGAACCCATCCAAATGCCCAAAAACTGATGAATGAAGAAACAAACTGTGGTACATTCATGCAATTGAACACCGCTCTGCAGTTAAAACAAATAATCTGCTCACATGGCCACAACATGGAGGAACCTTAAAAACATCATGCAACATCAGCAGGTCCCAATGTAAAATAACATTCCTTGTACGATTCTAGTTAGATTTCTAATCATGGCATGTGGCTCCATTGTAAGAATAGAGCAGAAATTATTTAACCAAGCCTGACTGTGGGACTTGAAGTTGTTTCCCATTTTTTTAATGCTACAAAGAGTGCTGTGATGACCATCTTTGCCACTCACTATTTGTGGCCAATCTTCATTGTGTCTTTGGGCAACCGCCAGCAAGCGGAACTGCCTGTTTCAAGGTTGGTGCATTTTAAGGCTTTCGGTAAATATTGCCCAGTGGCCCTTGAAAAAGTGTGCTTAGTCTGCACACCTGCGGGCAGAGCGTGAGGGTCAAATGTCTCCATTCTCCAATATAGCACTTCCCTCTCCAAAACAGCACTGCTTCCCCATGGGGGAGTCGGTTCCAGGCCACAGGGTCCCACCTTCACCATGCCCTGTATTTGTTTGCAGTTGCCTTCGGTACACGGCCACCATGAACTTGCTCATCAATTGCGCCAACAGCCAAGTAGTGGGTTTCGTTGTCGCCACCGCAGGATGGGTCCTGTCCATCACAAGCATGGGACACGTCGAGTGGAGAATGTGGTACATGAACAGCAGCTCCTACTCAACCCCTAGCCTGGCCTGTGTGGGAATGTGGAAAGTCTGCATGTACTACTACATCAGCTACTTTGAAAGGCCCACATCGTGCCACCTTTACACCTATCGTGATGCCTACCTCCCTGTCAGTATTCGTGTTGGTCAACACCTGCTGCTGGCTGCCAGCATCCTGGGGCTGCTAGGGAAGGTCTCCATTATCATTGCGCTGAGGAAGGTGTTCACGAGAATTCACCTGAGGAGGGGCATCTGCCATCCATTTGTTGTTTCAGGAATTCTGAACATGGTGGCCAGTACCTGTATCTTAATTGCTGTCATCTGGAATTACAAGTCTGTGATGAATGAAGAGGGTATATCCTTCCCACCATCTTTCCATGTGCCCTTCAAGCCCGATACACAGGAAAATGGCAATGCCATGCTAGCGGCGTGCCTGGCTTCCTTCATGATGATGTTAAGTGGGCTGTTTCACCTCACTTATAAATGCTCCCTGCACAACCCAGTGCATCCTGAAGATTTCGAACTGTAAGATGCCTGGTTGTGTTGGCTTTGCAAACCCCAGGTTACCAGGAAGTATCATCAGGGTGCTCTATGACGTTTCCAGGGACTGAAGACAGCTATTTTCTTTTGTTATCTTCTGTGTCCAAATTTGTTTCCTCGATTGGTGGGTTAAGTTATGGAACTTCCATTTAAAAAATAAAAAATCTTGCCCACCTACCAGTTGGTCTTAATGGACCTGGATTTAATAAACCTAGTCTATGCAAATAAGAGTTCCTGAGAGTCTTGCATCTCACTCTTAAACTTCTGCTAGAAACAACTGACATTATTTCCTATGGTGTGGTAATAATATCTATCATATAAAATTTTCCCAAATGGGCTCAAGTCAAAAGAATAGTATATAAGAAATCCCTCCACATCAGTTACCAGACTCCACAGTTATCAAGAGTAGGCCCTCTGAGCATTATCTCTCCTTTCTTTCTTCCTTTTTAATCTGTTTTTTTCCCAAAAGATTTTAAAGCATACCCCATAAATCATGTCCCTTTTATCCCTCTGCACTTCAATATTACTCTCTAAAAAAGATGGATGTTTCCTTGCACAAACCGTATTGTACCTTAAAAACGTGAACAATTATTGTTTGTTATCATCAAATACTTAGAATTTTTAAATATCTCAAAACTAATTCTACAGTTTTATTTTTTCCACACCAGATGCTCTCTCTGCCTCTGAAGTCTTAATTTAAAGCACTCTTACAAAATACAATTCTAGTGTATATATATTAATTGGCATCTTACTTTTTTCACTTGACAGATTCCTGCAGATCATGCTCTATCAGTGTGTGGAGACCTTTCTCATTTTTTTCTGGCTGCATAGCATTCCACTGTGTGACGTACCCTAGTTTATTCAACCAGCTGGGTGTGTATGCACCCATGTATGTATGATAACTTTGTGCAAACATCTTTTTGTATTTTGCCAGTATCTTTAGGATAGACTTGTAGGCCTCCTGGATAAAACCGTCAATGTATCTGTCATTAAAAAAAAATATATGTATATATATATATATATATATATATATTGCTAAATCTACTAAAGGGATGACACATTTTGCAGTCAAAATGCCACCTGGGCCTGTGGTCTCATGTGAGGGCTCAGTGGGAAAGGATCCACTTCATAGCGCACTTACATTATTGTTGGCAGGATTTATTTCTTTAGCTCCTCACAAGCTATTGGCCAGACTCTTTAGTTCCTTGCCACATGGACCTGTCCATAGCGCTTCTTAGAACATGGCAGCTGGCTTCATCAGAACAAGTTAGGTGAGAGAACAAGTGAGTGCTCGCCAGAAGGCAGTCCTAAGTGTTTTATAACCTAATCACAGAACTCACATTCCAGCACTTCTGCCTTTTTTCTCTTCATCAGAAGCAAGTCACCAAGTCCAGCCTACACACAAGGGGAGGAGACTGAGGGCACGAATGTAGGGAAGAGGGACACATCCGGGGCCATGTCACAAGACGCCTACCATAATTTCCTATTTCTAGTCCATCCTTCTCTTGATTTGTTGGTATTCTTTATTTTTAGCAGGTCTTAGTAAGAATATTTGCCCTTTGTCGGTTATCTTTTAGTTATAAATACCTTTCTTAATTTGACTTTTATTTTAAAACTTTGCTTATGGTATTTTTTTGTTATGCAAATGTTTTTGTAAAGTTTATATATTGTCAAATTTGTCAGTTTTTCTTAAAGCTGCAGAAAAGGAGTTTATTAAAAGAAAAGGTACTTTTCAAAGAAATAGAAGCGGGCCTGAACAGTAGAGAATGGCTCAAGGACCATTATTAGAAAAGAAAGTGCACTCCAAAGAGTTTGGAGCAGGCTGAGCAAAAGAAGCTCAAAAGGCTAAATTTATCATTTTTTTATTGCTTCTGGTATTTGAGTCATAATTTATGTATACTTTTTCCACTCTCATGTTATAAAAGCATTTGTTCATTTTTTTCCCTGGTACTTGAGTGGTTTCATTTTTTTATGGTATTCATTTGGAATTTATCCTCTTATACAATATGATATGTCGGGTCAAATTTATCTTTTCCAAATGATTCTCCTTTTGTACCCATACCATTAAAAAAAATCCTCATCTTTTCTTCACTGATTTGAGATGCTACCCTTTCTCATATGCTAAATTTGCATAGATATTGGATTCACTTCTGGACCTTCTATTTGACTCCTTTCGTGTGTTAATGTGCCAATAATATACTGTTTTAAATTTTAGAGTCTTATTTAAAATAATATGTTATATGATATGCTTATTCCCTCCTCATCCGTAGGACTTCCTTTGTTGTTTCTGCTTATTTTTTCATATGAATTTTATAAGCAACTTGCCTTACTCCAGACTGTAAAAAAAATCTGTTATTGTTTTTATTAAGATCGTGCTATGTTTATAACTTAACTTAGGGATAATTGACATATTTATAATATTGAGTCTTCTTATTCAAGAACCTGGTATGTCTTTCCCTTTGTTCAACTCTACTTTTGTTTTCTGAGGAGCATTGAAGGTAGTTTTCTTTGCATTGGGTTGTTTCCAGAATGGGGCAGTTATAAGAAAAGGTAATGTATGCATGTGCACTTGGACTTATGCAGGAATGCAACTTTTCATTTCTTGTGGGTAGATCGATATATTGGAGTAGGATTGCTAGTGTGGATGGAAAGTCTAACTCATTTTCAGACCTTCAATCCATATTTACTTTTTCCATTCCCCATTAATAGTTGTGTGTGGGTGGTGGTGGTAAATATTTCTTCTATTTTGGTGATTATTAATGCAACAGTTAAGATAGTTTTTACAAAATTTGTATGAGGAGCATAGGTCTTGTTTATACAAATTTAAATAACTGCTCCCAGAACCCCACCCAATAGGTATGCCCTTGGGGACTGTGGAATGACTGTTTCTCCCAAACTTCATCGGTGGGTCAACTAGCTGCCAGGGTAACTCATAGGCTCCCCTAATGCTCTCAATTGATTACATTCCAAAGTCACACTTAAGGCCAACACACTTAAGGAGAGAGACAACAACTTCAGCTCATTCAACTCACTGATGAATTCTTTCACCACATATTCATTGGATGTCTTGCACATGAGAAGTGCCACCAAAAACTTTCAACCAAGAACTTGAGGGCTATAGCATATAACAAGACACACACTCTCCACGTGTGCTGCTTGGTTGCTCACAGCTCTTCAGATGTTTAAAAGGCTTCAACCAAAGTGAAAGAAATGACTGAGAAAGGTCAAAAGTGGGTTAAAAATTAGACAGACTTTCATCTCAGAGCTACACACTGAGGATCACATTGAATTCATAGGAGAGACATCAGTGGGCTAACATGAAATGTCTTTCTTCTCAGAGTATTTATTTAAGTCAGTGAGAACAAGGGTTTGAAAATTTTCCCCCACGGGGACATAATTCTATCAGCTCTTAAATATGGGCTCCCAAAACATTGCCTATGGACCCAAGTGGGCTGGGTGCTCTGCTGGGATGTGAAGCGGACCCTTTGGCCATTGGATTTTGAGTTCTGGGCAGCAGATTCTTCCTCTCTGATGGAGGTTATATAAAACCATGATAGCATTCTTTACGCTATGTCCCTTTCCTGATGACCATTATTTGCATAATGTCCTGAGCTCTCCAGCATGGGAACTGGGAGGAAATTACACCCTTTTACATTTTGCTTGAGTTTCTGGCTTCCTTCCCAGGAGTTTGAAAGGGGCTGGATGGTGTCTGAGTCCGTCCCATTCGGATCTTCAGGGCTAGCCTTGGACTGAGTCTTACATAGTCTCCATGTCACTAATACAAGAATGGCTTATAAAATGGTTCCTAGGTAAATATCATGCTTCCCCCAATGAACTCTTTCCCTATGCTAGGTCTAATTAAGGCCAACCTTACATATGGGGTTGAAAGAGGATGTGTGTAATTTAAGTGGATCAAAACCACGAGTTCCTTGGAAACAAGAAGCTCTTGGAAGACAGAGGTGAGATGTGGAGCATGTAGAGGGCAGCACATCTGCTACCTGGTGGTCATAGAGGGAAGTGACTGAACTGGCTTGGGCTGTGCAAAGTGGTCCCTTAACCCTCTTCTTGCCTTCAGTCTCGACAGAGAGCAAGGTGATGGGGCATAAAGGTTTTAGACACGAGAGGTGAGGAGATCACCATGGCAGGGTCTGCTTTGGGGGAGCAGGGTAACAGGAGAAAAGGAAAAAAGAGCCTCAAGACATTCTGAAGGACTTTTTGGAAAGATTCTTTAAGGGATTCACTTTATTTTTTACTGGAATAAACCAAGAGAATGTGTTCTGTGCATTTCCTGTTGGTAGAGCACACCCCAAGGATGCTGTGAAGGCTGGTGACATTCCTTCCATTCTGTCTCCCCCATAGCAAGCCAAGGTAACCAGGAGACAGAGGGACACCACATAGTATTTGGGCCGGAGGTAAAAATTGGAAAGTGTCAGCATATTTGTTGTTCAAACGGGGAAGAAAGGAGTCACTGGTGACAGCGCTCCCAGACGGGAGGGACAGCAGAGCAGCACAGGTCAGTGCTGGCAACTCCTTCATCCTCCACATCTCCTCAGGCCCAACTTGGACTCTGAGGAAACAGCAGGAGGTGACAGTTGTCATAATGCCCAATGAGTTGAGTGTTTCACGAATCGCTTTCATCTTTCTCTTCCTGGCAGGCCTTGGGCAGGCCTGGGGAATGTGCTGGTAGGCTTGTTCACCAGGGATCACGGTGTTCCTGTGGCAGAGAGAGGACCTGGGGCAGGTGGCGCCCTCTTCCACATGCCTGATTGAAACCTACAGATTTAAAGTGGCTTGTCCCTGGTCAGAGGTGGAGCTGGAGTGAAAGCCCAGGTCTGCTGAAGCAGTCGTCTGTCTTAACAATCAAAGCAAGTGATAACAGTATCTGTTGGAGAGATAGTTCTCTGCTCCAAAAGCCTATTGTTCACATGACTGAGGGGTCTGATTGGAGAGCTCTTCCCACCAGCATAATGTCCTGTGTTTGCTAACCTTAGGGCAGGTGGTCTTCTTCTAGGAAACAGGTGAAGATTTCTGGCGTCCAGAAGTTCCCATCCATTTGCCTTTCCTGGAGGTCTCATCTCCTCTTTGAAGAGGAAGGCTTCCTCAACAGAG